TGGGCGAACAGAAGACAGAAAGGAAGTTAAAAGCAACAAAGAGAGAAATGATAGGGCACGTGCATAATATGAACGTTGCATAGACCATTCCTTCTGTTTCCAGGTCGAGGCATTGGATGTGCCGTCGGGCGAGTCTCATTTCGTTCTGGCTGCACCGCCGACACTTTGCGCGATCTCGGAAATAAACTGTCAAGGTTTAAAAGAGAATCCGATGTGCTATGAAAAAGTTACGTGACGTAAATCATCGACCGGAATAATTACGTGGGTTGTGTCAGGCTTCATTCGTATTAACACCTGTGTCGCTCAGTTGAGTCAGTTTTGGTTAAGGCTACTTTCCATGAATAGCTACTTTACTCATGACGCGTGGAATAAACACAGAGATGAAGTTCGACACGTTCTGAACGCCAGTACTAGATCTCAACTGCTTTGCGCCTGAGGAAAAACTCCCCCTACCTTATTTATATCGGATAGGAGCTACAAATCGGACTGGACGGGGTGGAGAAGACAAAATTCCTTTGCTGCAGCCAGGAATCGAACCCCGTTCAGTCCATAACCAGTTTTATTATTGGCTTTGCTGTTCTTGGTTCTGGAAAGTGTTTCGCCCTCTCAAGAAGACTCTCATTTCAATAATATTCAAGAATCGACTCCTTACCGCGAAGAAAACAAGACGTCTCCATGACAACGAACGGCACCATGCGTACATTTTGATCTTGGACTCCCCGTTGTGCCCCTACACCCTCACTATGTTGACCCAGAGCACGGTTCGTTCCAGCATGTCGTCGCCCTGACAGTGCGCAAGCTTCCTTCTAGCTCCGGGTGTTGTCACAGCTTCCAGGGAAAGACAGAAAGCGGTCTACGAGGCTGATGGCCACTGATTAAGAGGAGGCCACGGGCTGTAATTGTCCAGCAGCGAAAAAGAACGCGCTAAATGCCGACAGGTTGGAATCTGTGGCTGGAGAGATGTAGTCGAGGTTGCGGGTAGTTGATTACCCCGTCCGGAAATAGCAGGCGCGAACCGGAGTCTGCGTAAAACACGCGAGCAGCTCCTCGTATGTACTCGTGGACGACAAGTACCAGAGCCTGGTCACAAATAACTGACTGACTTAACGTCTTCGTTATTGGTTTGTTTAACGACGCTTTATAAGTTTTTGCGGAACGTTCTTCTTGCTGTGTTTTTAGTTTGCGCATATCGCATTTGTATTTAAAAGCCGAAATTATTATTATTATTATTATTATTGTAAACGAAACCACGAGATAAAATCGCGTTTCGTTTTGCTATGTCGCTCAGTCTGAAAATGTTTGATCGTTTAACAGAACCCGCGGATCAGTCCTCAAAAACTTATCGAATTATTTTTAAAGCGTATAAGCTCTTACTGTATTTATTTTATTAAAAAAATACAAAACTATATAGGGTTCCTAATTGAGAGATTTTCAACCCCGAAGATGGAAGCACTTTGTTAATCTGAAACGTTGGTATATAACTACAATTTTGTACGGCCCCAGGGTTTAAATAACCCTGCTTTGGAGGAGGCGTTGTGTTGTTAACTGGGGGTGCCCCGTAAGGGGGCCTAGCCCCATGGGTCGCAGTAACTCCTCGGGGACAGTCAACATCTTTCTGAGACCTTGATGATCTGATCGGAAATGGTACGGGTCCAGGGGTGTCCAGAACGGCGAAGGATTAGAAGTGTAACAATAGGTCATTCAGGTTGCCTACCGCCTAGGGAAGCCACGACACACGGACGGACATGGAGGGGCCCATTCGGAATTCTTCACTTACTCCAGAGCGTGAAGTAGGACAGAAAATTGGGTCCAGAGGACTGAAATATGACGATGTGGAGCCGCGAGATCGGGATCAAAGGTCGAGGTTTTTTGTGAGCACGATTTTTAGAAAAAAGATCTTTGCGATTTGACTTGGTTATTTTAGTGCAACGTTGGTAACTATTAAAACTGGTTGGTTCTCGGTGTTTAATTATTTAGCCAGTCGGCTAGGTTGGTAGTTGTTTAAGCTGTAGTTCGTTAACTGCTCTGCCTCTAGCTCGTAGCTTGAAAAGAAGACGCAACAGACCAGACGTAGATAAAGCAATTTCTAACTTCACTTTTCACTCTTTGTTATATTTCCAGCCATGAGCAATCCTCTTTATTGGAAAACAAACATCGCAAAAAGATTGCCTCACGCTGTCTCTGTTGAGATGAAAATTCACTCGCAGCGTTCAGAAATAAACTTCATGAAACAAATATGGCCTTCAGCGCTACCTGCAGCCAAAACCATAGGCCACTCTAGTGGCTAATGTTCCCGGTTTACGTTCTCGAGGTGCTACTAGAAGTCCGTTCACATAACACGTCTCCATGACAACGGTCAGCTGATTAACGCTGTTTAAGGAAATAATCGCTGTTTAAACTGAGAATAATACGAAACCCGTAAATACGCTGTGTGGGCAAAATATAGATGAACTGAATGTTAAAGTAAGTGGTACGTAAAGTTACCACTGGACTTTAAAGTGTTAGGATTGAACTAAGTTACTCCAAGGAGCAGATTCCTTCTTGAGAAGCTGATAGTCGCACATTTAGTCGATTAATTTCCCGTCTTTTACTGAAGAACCCGCCACATGAATTCAGTCCGCACCATACTACCGTACTTTACTAATTTTAATATTATACTCCCATCTACGACTAGGTCTTCCGAGTGGTCTCTTTCCTTCAGGATTTCCAACCAAAATTTTGTATACATTTCTCATTTATCGATACGATGAACAGTTAATGATTCACAAGGTCTTGACTGACTCACGCAGTTTGACATTTGTAATTGAATTCCTTAACTTTGGATCAGTTTTCAAAGGCGCGTGTTTTTGTATGCGGCATGAATTAACACCAGGGCGTATGAAACTGCATTGCAAAACATTTCGAAGGGCCATACTACCTCCATCTTCAGGGCTAAAGCGTGTAATAATTGTGTGTGTTTACGTTTCTTTGGGGGGGGTACTCTTTTTTTTTTGCAGACAACCCACGGCCCCACTTATATTTGTACCACTAATTATTTTCGATTATCAACGAAAATTCAGATTTGTGTACAATGTCAAAATGGGCTGTGAAGTTGCGAACAGGGTTGAATGTCCATTGCTTGGGGTGGGTCGCGGACCGCCATTGTATATCCAAGCAGATGTGGAAGTAGTGAGATCTGGCCTCGTTCCAGCTTTCTGTAAAAAGTCCTCAGATGTTTTTTGAGGAACCACGAGACTGTGCAGCCTCTCCCCGTCTCTCTCTCTCTCTCTCTCTCCCTGTGTTTATTCTAGGTGCAAGCTCAGGGAACAACTCCTGCTTCTGTTTCAGCGTTAATAATCAATAAACTCA